CCCCAAAACCCCAAAACCCCAAAACCCCAAAACCCCGAGAAAGTGTAATAAAATTGAAAATATTTACCAACATGCAAACCCCAATAGTTGTCTCAGGATCCCATATACACTTTCGTAAGTGATACAATTTATAGCGAAATGTCACATTATTTTGCAATAACAGACGGGCCATCACACAGAACCCCTAAATTATTTATAATGAATTCGTACATCAAGAAATTAGGGTCTGTGTTCAATAATATAGACAGACCATATCAGTTATAGCTAAACTATAAAAGCTAGCCCTAAATATAAGCATATTAAGCTACAGAACCCACCTGTCTTAACTACGATAGCATGTCTATAGCAGTTGTAACTCAAAATATAGAAAAGAAGCATTCAAACATTGGTCCTAAAATTTCTAAGCCAAATAAAGTATACTCTCTTCTAATGTATAGACTTCGGGGCATGGCAAGACTGCTCGGATGCAGAAGATCATTAAAATCCAGAAGTTTCTAGAGGCATCTACTTGCATAACTTTCTAGGAGAATTTGTCAAGGATCAATGCGAACACTAAAAATTTTAAAAATAAGACATTAGCTGAAGTTTTTAATAAAAATCGGTCGTAAGTTCTCATAGTTAATTTTACACCCTCAAGTATGCCCAGCTGGAGCTGGAATAGAGGAGTCAGGATTAGTTGGGCAATCAGCACTTTTAGGTCTAGTAGTTTCAATTGTGAAATTATGTATCCACTGAGATTGATATGAAATTATATGAGAAATGAGAATAGGGGTTAAGCGTAATCTGAAATTTACCACATTTCAACTATATTTACATCCACATAGATACAGAATAGTTATTTTAGTCATATATCATTTGATATTGCAGGGAGCTAGAATAGTGTAAAATTTTATAAAATAATGAGTTTGGAAATATTTGAAACAGAAAAATAAACTCTAATAATTGATATATAGGCCACATAATAGGAGTCTAGCACAACCTAGAAATGCGAAGCACAACTTCATGAGAATTTCCAAACAAGTTGATGAGACAGAGCCTGATCTTCGAGCACACCAGTGTCCAACCCAAATAAATTTCCAGTTCGATTCTGCTTCCACAAAAATGTTCGATTGTAGGATCTCGTTAATCTTCAGACATGACTAGCAGCAAGATTCAGCCTAAATATATTTTCAACAAGGTAAATCTTTGTTGTATTTATGTTATCAGAGAAGGGTACTAAGCAATTCACCTGTAAGCTCCAGAAAAGGGCAGGACAAGTCTTCATATTCTTGATGATCCAAAGGAAAGCCGCCTGCCTTCCTTGAAAACTACATGAACCATACTAATTCTGTGAATTATTATCAGCATAAAGTTAAGCAACTCAATAAGAAACAAATGGCAGCAGATCTTGATTTTAAACAGAAACTCCATTCTTTGATTATGATCGACTCAAGCAGAACATCTGTCAAAGGCAGCCAGGATTTGTTAAGAGTAAATCAAGTCTCATCTGTAGGTTCTTAGTCGAGATATCAGGAAGGGGGCTTCCACAAAACTTAGCATCAGCAAGTTAAAGAAGAGACAAAAACAAAGCTTGGCTGAAAATTTTAGAGACCAAATAATCAAGAATAGTATTGTTTCAAGGTAACTAATTGTGATATTCAAGGTTTTATTATTTCTTTGCTTAAAATTTGAATTAATTTTTACTTCTAAATAGATTGAAAAAGACGGAGAAATCCAAGAAACACCAAGCATCAAACTGACTATTTCTCCCTTCAAAATCAAGTAATTCCTCTATCTAAACTCTAGTTATTGGTGTAGTTGGGGTACACAAAAGTTGTAAAATATAGAGGAAAGTTAAGGAGCCAACTAAGGCAAACCCTACTAGCTGAATGAGGTATGCTGTAAATAATGGTTAGTTCTCCCAAGAATCGACCCCAGATCCAGAACAAGATTGTGATTCCGATATCAATGCCTGCCTTGACACCTTTAGCCACAGTTAGTCATAACAGTAAGGGATTAATGATCTGTAGAATCAAAAACTCGCAAATCAAAAATTCTGAAGAAATACAAGAAGAGGGCTAGACAGAACAAGAGCTTTGAGAGAAACATTCTTACTGGATGGGATACATACACAGATGAGTTTGATGATCCTTTGCTTACAGAAGAGAATAACTTTTAGAGAAGTACGAGAACTCCTATGAAAATTTCCAATAATTCTACTCGTTCGTGGGGTTTTGGGGTTTTGGGGTTTTGGGG